TGAGATGATAAAAATATTTGTATCGCTGATGATAGCAATCCAAGCATAAGTCAAATAATCTCCTCCTGGCTTTTTAATTCAGCTGAAATGTTGAAAAGGGGTTTCTTTTTTCAAAGTTTCTGTGTTGAAAATGTGATGTTCCTGAAAGAACGTTTTTACGAGAAATAGTTTCAACAGAGTTTTTGTAGATAGCCGTAAGCTATGTTGATTTGGCGAATACTTTTTTGTGATGATAATAAGTCCCAGGAAGTCCCAGGAAAGATAAATTGGTCTGCACTGAAAATTTATATATTTTCTTGGTCGAATCTTACGATTGTCACTACTACGTGTTATATGTCATGAGGTTTCCTTGGTTCCTACATAATTTTGGTTTGATTAAATTTTTCTAACACTGTGATGATATAAGGTCAAGCATATATCAACTGATTTCCTCCTGACGAGTCAATTAAACTGATTAATTTTTTCTGTGGTTTTTTTAAATTTCAAGGAACTTAAGTGCAAGTTTGATAGGGTTACCATTATTACCTTTTTTTGGACACACATTCTTTGAGCGGTTTTGTTTTCGGTTGAAAAATTTTTCGTTTCGGTAGTGTTAGTTCCACGCATGCAACAACTAGTTCTCTGAAATTTGATTTTATTTGATGGAGTTTTGAAATGTCGTTTTGATTCGTATGATAGCATTTAGTTTGCTTTCTTTTTTGTGTTCGATCAAATGAATTTTTCCTTAAAAATGATCTTTTCTTTGACCATCAGTTTTTTTGATATGATAAAAAGGTATTTTATCGATAATGATAGCAGTCCAAGTATAGCACAACTGATCTCCTGGCGATTCATTTTAACTTGATATTTTTTTGTGATTTTTATCTTTGAAGTTACTTGTTTGCCAGTTTGTTAGGCTTACCATCATTATTTTTTGACACGCTTACTTTGAGCAATTTTGTGTCAGATTGCGGTGTTTCTTCTTGGTTGATTTTTTTTTGTTCTTTTGATACCATTGATTTGTCTTTTTTTTTCACCTCAGTGTTTGTTTTAAAATTGTTCTTTTCTTTGTTTGAGATGATAAAAATATTTGTATCGCTGATGATAGCAATCCAAGCATAAGTCAAACAATCTCCTCCTGGCTTTTTAATTCAGCTGAAATGTTGAAAAGGGGTTTCTTTTTTCAAAGTTTCTGTGTTGAAAATGTGATGTTCCTGAAAGAACGTTTTTACGAGAAATAGTTTCAACAGAGTTTTTTTAGATAGCCGTAAGCTATGTTGATTTGGCGAATACTTTTTTGTGATGATTATAAGTCCCAGGAAAGATAAATTGGTCTGCACTGAAAATTTATATATTTTCTTGGTCGAACCTTACGGTTGTCACTACTACGTGTTATATGTCATGATGTTTCCATGGTTCCTATATAATTTTGGTTTGATTAAATCTTTCTAACACTGTGATGATATAAGGTCAAGCATATATCAACTGATTTACTCCTGACGAGTCAATTAAACATTTTTTCTGTGGTTTTTTTAAATTTCAAGGAACTTGAGTGCAAGTTTGTTAGAGTTATCATTATCACCTTTTTTTGGACACACATTCTTTGAGCGGTTTTGTTTTTGCTTGAAAAGTTTTTCGTTTCGATAGTGTTACTTCCACGCATGCAACAACTAGTTCTCTGAAATTTGATTTTATTTGATGGAGTTTTGAAATGTCGTTTTGATTCTTATGATAGCATTTAGTTTTCTTTCATTTTTGTGTTTGTTCAAATGAATTTTTCCTTAAAAATGTTCTTTTCTTTGACCATCATTTTTTTTGATATGATAAAAAGGTTTTTTATCGAAAATGATAGCACTCCAAGTATAGATCAACTGATCTCCTGGCGATTCATTTTAACTTGATATTTTTTTGTGATTTTTATCTTTCAAGTTACTTGTTTGCCAGTTTGTTAGGCTTACCATCATTATTTTTTGACACGCTTCCTTTGAGCAATTTTGTGTCAGATTGCGGTATTTTTTTTGGTTGAAATTTTTTTTTTGTTCTTTTGATACCATTGATTTGTCATTTTTTTTTCACCTCAGTGTTTGTTTTAAAATTGTTCTTTTCTTTGTTTGAGATGATAAAAAGATTTGTATCGATGATGATAGCAATCCAAGCATAAGTCAACTAATCTCCTGGCATTTTAATTCAGCTGAAATGTTGAAAAGTGGTTTCTTTTTTCAAAGTTTCTGGGTTGAAATGTGATGTTCCTGAGAGAAATAGTTTCAACAGAGTTTTTTTTAGATAGCCGCAAGATATGTTAATTTGGTTAATACTTTTTTTCTGATAAGAATAAGTCCCAGGAAAGATAAATTGATCTTCAAGGTTCAGTTTTCTGAAAGTTTTTACCATTTCTAGGTCGAACCTTACGATTTTCATTTCTACTTATTACATGTCCTGATGTTTAACATGGTCCCTTAATAATTTTAGTCTGATTAATTCTTTCTAATACTGTGATGATAGCAATCCAAGCATAAGTCAACCAATCTCCTCCTGGCATTTTAATTCAGCTGAAATGTTGAAACGTGGTTTCTTTTTTCAAAGTTTCTGGGTTGAAAATGTGATGTTCCTGAAAGAATGTTTTTACGAGAAATAGTTTCAACAGAGTTTTTTTAGATAGCCGCAAGATATGTTAATTTGGTTAATACTTTTTTTCTGATAAGAATAAGTCCCAGGAAAGATAAATTGATCTTCAAGGTTGTTTTCTGAAAGTTTTTACCATTTCTAGGTCGAACCTTACGATTTTCATTTCTACTTATTACATGTCCTGATGTTTAACATGGTCCCTTAATAATTTTAGTCTGATTAATTCTTTCTAATACTGTGATGATATGAATTCAAGCATAAGTTAACTGATCTGATGGTTTTTAAATTGATGAGAGTTATTGGTGATTTAGGTTTTTCTAGGTGCTTATTTGCATGTTTATTAGTGTTTCATTTGATAGCCGTGCTTTTGGGACACGCCTCAATTCAGCAACTTTGTTGCAGATCAAGTGAATTTTTTTGACTGAAAGTTTCTTGTATCGAAGCTATTACTTCCATGTGTACGTCAACTGTTTCATGAAAATTGAACATATCTGATGAATTTTTAAAATTTCATGTTTGTTTTTTTTATACCGTTTATTGGTGATTTTCGTGAGGTTTCTGTTAGCAGCGTTTTTTAAAAGCTGATGGAAGTTTTTGTTACTAATATTGGTCTTGCAACACGAAGGGTTAACGATTCTGTTTTTAATTCGCAGTAACGTTTTTATTCAAAACTTTTTGTCTCGATTTTGTTAATTCCATGCATACACATCAACAGATTCTCTGACAATTGAATTTACTTGATCAAATTTCGAAGTTTCGAAATTGTTTTGCTGATACTGTTCAACGGAAAGTTTCACGAGTTTTCTGTAAACAGTGTTTACTTTATGCGAATAAATCAATAATTCTTTCCTTGTATTCGGCCGTTAATTTTTTTTTGATATGATAATAACGTTTATTTCGTATTTCGGTGATAATAGCTAATTCAGCAACAGATCATGTAATCTGACAGTTTTGGCTGTTGGAATGTTTAAATTGTTTTTTTTTCATAGCAAATGCTTGATTGGAACTATACCGATGTTTCCATAGTTATGTTTTTTGAGAGACCCAGTTTTTGCGAATTTATTTCGATGGCGATTTACTGTCCAAGCAAAGAAAAATTGATCTCCTGTCGATTCGTTGTTCAGAAAGGTTATAGTTATTTTAGGTTGTACCTCATTATTTCGAAGTGTGGTGCATCTTTGCCTTGTACTATTTTAGAGTCCTGAATCATTCTTAGCATTTTGGTTTTCGTGATTTTCCGTTAAGGTTTTTGGTTTCCTTTACGTTTCTGTCCTGCTGGTGATTTCTATATCAAGCATGGATCAACTGATCTTCTGTTAATTTGAGTGGTTTTGTTTCAATTTGCCGTATTTTTTGTAATTCTTTCCTTGTATTCGGCCGTTAATTTTTTTTGATATGATAATGTTTATTTCGGTGATATTAGCTAATTCAGCAACAGATCATGTAATCTGACAGTTTTGGCTGTTGGAATGTTTAAATTGTTTTTTTTTTCATAGCAAATGCTTGATTGGAACTATACCGATGTTTCCATAGTTATGTTTTTTGAGAGACCCAGTTTTTGCAAATTTATTTCGATGGCGAATTACTGTCCAAGCAAAGAAAAATTGATCTCCTGTCGATTCGTTGTTCAGAAAGGTTATAGTTATTTTAGGTTGTACCTCATTATTACGAAGTGTGGTGCATCTTTGCCTTGTACTATTTTAGAGTCCTGAATAATTCTTAGCATTTTGGTTTTCGTGATTTTCCGTTAAGGTTTTTGGTTTCATTTACGTTTCTGTCCTGCTGGTGATTTCTATATCAAGCATGGATCAACTGATCTTCTGACAATTTGAGTGGTTTTGTTTCAATTTGCCGTATTTTTTTATAAAAGTTTTTTGATTTCGATTTTGTTAGTTCCATGCATAGACCAACTAAATCCCTGAAATTTGAATTAAATTGATGGGAGTTTTAGTGTAACACAATTAATTTTTTGATACCAGTAATTGGCTGATTTTTTTTGTCGTGTTTTTGAAATGAATTTTTAATTTGATTTTTTCTGTTCTTCGGCCATCAATCATGTTGATATAATAAAACAGTTTGTTTCGATGATGATAGCAAATCCCAGCATAGATCAACTGCTCTCTGCTGACGATTTAATTGAGCTGTTAGAAATTTGATTTTTTCTATTTTGTGAATAATTGTTTACATTTAAGTTGTTGGCCTTTAAGTAATGTTCTTGCGATACGGAGAAACTGTTCTGTCAGTAATTTTTTGGTGGGCCAAAAAATATGTTAACTTTCTCTTCAGCGATGATTATAATCCAACGAATAGATGAACTCGATCGCCTGACGATGCATTTCATCTGAAACGTGCTCGTTGATTTTTCCTTCGTCAGTAGTGGATCAATATCATTTTAGGTGTTGCGTCTAAAAGAAACGGAAAATGGATACAACGGAAAATATACGTCTCAACAGTTCTCGCCAATATCAGTTAGTATTTCTCATTCAGTATCTTTCAGTAAAAAAAATTATATGCGCCATCCATCTTTGATCGGAGTTTAGTTTCTTTCGAAGTTTTTCTTTTATTTCTCCTTCGACATTAAAGCGCTTAAGTATTATTCGGCATTAAAGCTCAGAAAATATCTTTCTGAAAATGTATGTTGAAGCTCTGAAAATATCTCTTGAAGTGTTTCTCTTTTTTCTTTTTTGGCATTAAAGCTCTGAAGAGTTATGTTTTTTTCATCAAAAAGTAATTTGTTAATTTTTTTTTCAATGAAAAAGTCTTTAGTTTATTGCTCAATTTTGATTTTTACCGGTTTGACTTTTGATTTCTTTTTTAAGTTCAATTCATTTGCGTTGTTAAAATGAAGGCAAAGACCACTATCGAACAGCAAAAGTGTAAAGGTCGCTAAAAACGTGATGGACGTCTAGTTTCGAAATCAGTTTTTAATGTTCAGATTTCTCGGCATAATAAAAACTTTACCCATTGATCCATTTTTTCAATTTGGGTTAATTTTATCAAGAAACCACCCATTTAAACTGTTCTTGAAATTTAAAGAGCTTCAAGTGCATGTATTATTTTCTTTGAAACTCGAAAGTAGAAGTTTCCGAAAAACAAGTCAGTTTTTCTTCTATTTTCTTGCGTTCATGACTAGTTTCCAACTGTCTGTTGGCTAGTTTTTCTGTTTCAGTCGAAGTAGTACTCCCAAAATGGAGAAAACGGTTTTATTTGTGCACAAGGGTTGTTATTTTCAAAAGCTTGATACACATTTTGGAGGTCATAATTATTGGAAGTATCTTAGAAGGACTTTTTCTTGAATCTTTGTTGTTGATAGTCTACGCCTCCTGAAAAGACCCCCAATGCTCTGGTGAAACCTAACTCAAGTAACACTGTGGGGAGCAATGTGAACTCGCGCACCCTGTCTTCCTGGGAGTTCCTGGAATCACAAGTGAAACTCAAAGATGGAGAAGCATCGGCTCTGCAGGTGAGTTTACTAAGTGAAGGGTTTTTTTTCATGGTTCATATCTGTGGTCAACATTGTTCGTTTATCCGTTCTTATACGAAATTATTTCCATTAGTGCATACACCTTTTGCAGAGCTCAATTGTCGTTCGTACCTAATGAATCAACTAGGCTTAATAATCAGAACAAAATAATTTCAATCTAATCTAATAGTATTTTATTTGAAAGAAAATTAAGCAAAATTGTTGACTGAAGATAGATTGGGTTGATTCTTTTAGACGTAAAGGTCTGTTTTCAAGCGACTCAAGCAAAAAAAAGTGAATCTAGCGTTATGCGAGCATTGCACAGTTTGTAGCTGCTCGAAAATTCAAATTTTCTGATCGAGTTACAGAAATCGAAAGAAAAACAATCTTAGAAAAAGTAAGCTGTTTTACTATATAGTTTCATCGCCTCAGATTTTCAAACTTGATAAAAACTTGGAGCCAATTATCCACGATATAATTTTCTTGAAATTGTGGTTAAAATGTTGATATGGTTTTTGCTGTCTATTTGAAAAATTCCTATTACTCGGTTACACATTTGCCTCATTTTTATGTTGGAGATCTCATGTAGTTTTAGTGTTTATTCAAGGTTAATTTTTGTTCGTGATGCGTCTAAACTGCAGATTATTTATGTCGGTGTTGTTGATTGTATTATCATTTTTTTCACAATCCATCCTCATGGATTTTTTAAATTAGTTTCAGAATTTCGTATTCCTTTACCTTTACTCGTAGTTCCTTTACCGTGGATGGTAGGAAGTTTTACTCGTAGTGCCTTTACCGAATCTGTCCTCTCGTTCATTATCATTAAATATTATTTCAAGTAGATCCGGAAGTTTTTCTGACGTGTTTTACGTAAAAGTAATTGATGTCATAGCAGTCTGAGCTAGCCGTACTAATTTTTGAAATATGAACAAACTTTATAATCTCTTGATGATGTTTTGTAAAGAACATTGATTTTAATTGCTCTGAAACGGTAATGGGCATTGAACCGGTACTCCTGATAGTTGCAAATTATTTATTGAATTATTGAACAGTTTCGCACGTTACAAATTTACTGGTTTGTTATTTCATTTAATTTCCTTGAAAGTGATAAGAATAAAGTCCGGCAGTTTTTTCGGAAGTTATGTTTAATCTGTTTTGATAGTAATTTCGTTTTTGTCCGTTACTGTTTTTGACAAACTTTCATTGCTTTCGTAGGCTATCAGATCCGTCTTTTAGTTTGAATTTTTAGATTGGTTTATTGATAATTTTTTTATTTTTTTTTTGCGGCAGTTCTTTTAACTTCTTTGTCTATCCACTTAGTTTTGTTTACTGTTTTTTTTCTGGAAAATTACTGTTAATCGCATGTTTTAATGTGCAGTTGATATTTATCAAATATGTATCAGTAGCATGGTTATTCCTTTGGAATTCATTCCATTTCTTTTATGGTTCGTGTTGTATAGCGAATATCAATTTTTCGCTTGTATATAGTTTGCTCAAGTTATTCCATGACCGCAATAATGCAATAATGGTCAGAAACATCGGTTATAAATTTTTTTATCGAAATTTTTATGGATGAGAAAAACTGATTTTTCATAGTCGCAAAGTTCCATTTCACCGTGTGGCTCGTTTTTTTTTTAATCTCAAGACGAGATTTTTTCCTTTCATTTTTTGTGTTAACTTTGTTTTTTGAGAAATATGTATTAAAGTCGCCACAAACATCATATTCAGCTGCTGGGCCAATAAGGATACTGTCAAGATGGTTTTCCTGTTTGTTAATAGTTTCGTCTGTAACAGAAATTGGTGGTATATAAGCAACTGTTACCTTTTTTTTATTACTAGTAATATTGCTTCATATTAATTGTATCGAATTGTCCTTGGTTTCTTTTTAATGTTTTGTTTCCATTTTATACATACAGAGCCACGCATCTACCCTCTTTTCGGAGCGAGAGCAGCCTTTCAGTTATTGGTCGCCATTTAAATTTGAGTTAGTTTTAGATTTTTTTCATAACCACGTCTCAGCGAGGAAAATTGCTGTTGTTTTGAATTACGGCCTTTCGGAGAAAATTTTTCTTTCGTCTTATAGTAATTATTATTTTTCAAAAGTTCAAAACTGGGTTAAGTTGTCAAATCATTCTGTGATCATGGCACTGGACTTATTAAAATAGTACTAAATATATTAAAAACCATTTTATTGTGAGTTCATCAGGTTTTCGCTTTGTCCGAGTCAAAATATTTCATTTCTTTGAACAATCTATTATATCTATCATATATTTAATTGCGGGCTTTACTATCTCACCATGTTTAAGCTTTTTCAACGTATTATTTTTGGATGTTTAACGAAAGAATTTTTACACGTTTAAGCTATATCGTATATTGCAATGGTTAAGTTTTTTTTCGATTTTCCAGTTTGAATTTACTGGTTATTCCACCGAGTTTAAAATAAGCAGGCCAATAGTGGGACGCTGCCAGGATTCCCCAAGGGGTTGCGAATTTGGCCTCCAATTAAGAATGCTCAAATCCTTTCAGTGTACGAGTGCGACGATTTCTTTTATTTTTTTCTCCAAAATTTTCAGTAAACACAAATTACAAAATAATTTACAAAACATAAAATTACCAACCCTGTAGTTGGGTCCTGTCAGTGTACTCTCAAGGATTGCGAATCTTGTCTCCAAATGTGACGGCTCAAATCCTTGTAGTTTCCGAGATATGACGTTTTTTGTGATTTTTTTAAACATTTTTCAGGAAACTTAAACGAAATTTTTTTTCTTCAAAATTTCAAATTTTCAAACATTATTTGGGGGCTATCAGAGTACTCTCAGTGGTTGCGACCAACCTTGCTTCCAATTATGACTGCTCAAATCCTTGTAGTTTTCGAAATATGAATTTTTTGTGATTTTTTCAAAAAATTTTCTGGAAACTTAAACGAATTTTTTTTCTTCAAAATTTCAAGTTCTCAAACATGTAGTTGAGGGCTATCAGAGTACTCTCAGAGGTTGCGAACCTTGCCTCCAATTATGACTGCCCAAATCCTTGTAATTTTCGAGATATGACGTTTTTTGTGTTTTTTTTTTTCAAAAATTTTCAGAAAACACAAATAACAAAATATTTTACAAAACTTGAAATTCGCAACCCTGTAGTTGGGTGCTGTCAGAGTAGTCTCTAGGATTGCGAATCTTGTTGACAAATGTGACGGCTGAAATCTTTGTAGTTTAGTTTTCGAGATATGACGTTTTTTGTGATTTTTTCAAAAAATTTTCAGGAATTTCAAACGAAATTTTTTTCTTAAATGTCAAATTCTCAACCCTGTAGTTGGGGGCTATGAGATTACTCTCAGGGGTTTCGAACCTTGCCTCCAATTATGACTGCTCAAATTCTTGTAGTTTTCTAGATATGAACTTTTTGTGATTTTTTCAAAAAAAGTTGCGAATCTTGCCTCCAAAAATAACTACTCGAATATTTGTAGCTCTCGATATTTGACATTTTCGGGATTTGACGGAAAATTGGAATTACAAAAAAGTTTATAATTTGAAATTACCAACCCTGTAATTGGGTGCTGTCAGAGCACACTAAAAGCCTGCAGATCTGGTTTCCAATATATATGTGGTTTTTCATGAGTTGTCAAAAATTCGAAGCACCGGAGGTGCGTTACACGCTAGTTTTTTTTAGCTTAGAACAGTAAATGTTCAGTTGCTAAATTTGTTACAAACTATCGATAAAAACGATAAAATTGTGTGCTGTTTTTGTACAAGACGGAGCTGCGGAGGCTGGAACAGCAGAACGTTAGTTTGCGGGAAGACTTCGTGCGCCTTTCGAATGAGAGACACGTGTGGGAGGGGGACAAGGATACCCTGGAGAGACTGAGGGGGGACTTAGAGGAGCTACAGGGGAGGTATGAGACTCTGCTGACCATGTATGGGGAGAAGGCAGAGGAGGTGGATGAGCTGAAGATGGACTTGACAGACGTGAAGGTCATCTACAAGGCACAGGTACATTGATACTGGAGAAGGTATAGTACTAGTAGTGTGCAAATTGGTTTAAAAAAAAGAGAAACAATTGTAACGGCTGGACGAAGAAAGAGAATTGCAGTCTGGCATAATTTATGAATGAAGTGTAATCTAATCATAGAGAAGATCAGCATCGGGCGAATATAATGAGAGCTTGTTTTTGAGGAAGGTTTCAGCAAGTAGTTTTGGCAATGAAAACATGTCAGCAAGGTTGCTTGGGTTTTTGTCTTGGTGATTCATCTCTCCACTGAATTCTGAAAAGGAGGAAGTTTTCAGGCTATATTATGGAATAACAATAACGCATGGCAGCTAAGTAGCAGGAAGAGGAAAAAAGTAAATTTTGGGTCGTAAAAAGTACTTTTCTAAATTTTCAAAATTGCCAAAAAAAAATTTGTGCAGAAAGTTTCAATTTCGGTATTATTTACGCTAAAACAAATACTTTTGCACATTTTCCATAAAAGTATTTTGACAGTCATTTAGTTTTCGCTTTTACAGACTAAAAAGTCTTTCGACTTTGCATGATGTTATAGGAGAAAGGAAATTTTACCCCAAACTCGAGGTCGGGGTTGTTTTCTAAAACTTTTTGCAATTTACCAGCTGCCTCTGTAGTTTCCGAACTTACTTTTTTCCGCTCCCTGCTAAGTAGTATAGCTGTAATCAGTTTCATGTGGAATACCTGGTCAATTTCTGTATCATAAATTCCAATTGATTTTCAAAGTTAGCTTTATGAATTTGAATTTCAGATCGAGGACCTTGTGAAAAAACTTGCTCAGCAGAAGGCGTAGCGCTGTAAAAGAATAATCCATATCAAATGCAACCCATGATACAAAGAGAAATGTGGAATATATTAAACAAATACAAACTCATTTTTAACTCATGTTTTCGACGTAAATTGTTAATGATTATTCTCATTTCTTTGTTCAAAGGTGCTAATAGTACAATAAATTGTAACATTTTGTGATTGTGTTATATATCAAATGTAGCATTCTAGAGAAATCGAACTTCTATATGAATGAAGTAGGAACGGGTTCAAAATCGCACATCATTTGTATTTGATTTGAGGTTTGTTGTGTCCGTATTTGCTGATTATAGAATTAATATTTAGTTAGCAGTTTTTCAATTCAAGTCAATTGAAATCAAAGTGTGGAAAACAACAAGTTAACACAGTTGATGCGTATTTAATTCATGAACTGAACAGCAAAAAAGATATTGGTTTCACATGATAATAATTAAAATCCCATTTCAGAAATTTTCCAACTAGATAAATTTCGCGAAATTTCACGTAATTGGGTCTAATATATTCTAATTTGGGATCTTGTTAAGTATTCCCCCCATGGCACCTTGTAACGAATCTCCCCCTATGAAAAATTGAACAGTTAAACACAGAATTTTGTACCGTGTTAACTAATTCTTCCTATTGCAATAAGAAGGAAATAGTTAATAAGAGCCCTAATTTTTTACATGCAAAGCTAATCTAGTGAACTTAGGTGTATTACATTCAGGGTTGGCAGAAAAAAAACAACTGGTGTTTAAAGCAGGTTTTAAACATTGTTTTAAACAGGCGTTTTTTTCACGTGTTTTTTTTTGTGTTTTTTTTTTTTCAAGTTTAGGTTTGAAATGGATTAACTTCACACATGCCTGCAATAATTTGCTGCCGTCTGCTGCGTGATGTTTCGATGACGCATGAACATCTAATTGGTCACATGTATCTGCAGTGTTGGCGCGCTTTGCAGTGAATTTCACGCCTAAGCCGCGTTATATAGACGGCTCGATTGTTGTCACGTCTGGATATTCAAATGCGCATTTCTATTATTTTTGTGCATTTTTTTCTCACGAGAATATAGAAAAAAAACACGTTTTGAAAAAAAAACAGTGTTTTAAACGTTTTTTTTGTTTGAAACGTTTTTTTTCTAAAAAAAACACTTTTTTGCCAACCCTGATTACATTCCAAGTTATTACATGCAAATTAGAGAGTTAGTGCGTTTTAAAACTTGTGCATCCGAATCTTTGCCTCTCGCTCGTGTTTGCGAAGCTGCAGCTTCGCCTCTGTGTATAAAAATTGCGGACTGATTAGGCCATGAAGAAATCTGGTCTTCATAATTAACCTTGAAAAGCCACTCAGTACTCCATAAAAATTAATTGAGTCTCGTGAGCTGGGGGAGGGGGGTTGTATAAGGGAAAACTTAAGTACTGATCATCTGATAAGTAAAATTTTTCAAACTCGTCTTTCGCATATATTTCAATAGTAAGTTTAAGTGTCACTGAACGAAGAAATGGCACTTATTTAGGTCATGCTGTTTCTTTTGATTTTATTATCAAAAAAGTCTTGAAAGTTGTTCAAGCTCAAGTTTGATCTTCTGCTGTTAGGTTGAATTTTACAAGTTCGATTGAGTTTCATTTGCTATATGGAAAGCAAATAACCCTGTCCAGTAGCAAAAGTGCAATTGGAAAGAAATTTATCTGAAGGATTGTTTCAAGGGTGTATTTAGTTTAAGTGTCATTAACGTAATGACTACTCTTACTTAGGTCTTGATGATTTTTTCTAAATGTTTTTTGAAAGGAAAATTTGCTCACGCTGAAATTTGATTTTTCGCGGTTTGAAATTTAATTTTTTCTTAGCTCCGATATTTTCCTTAATTACAAAAAGGAAAACGCCGCGCCATTATCGAACAGCGAAAGTGTAAAGGGCACGAAACGCTTGATCGACTTCTAATTTTGAAAGCGAATTTTATTCAGATTTCCCAATGAAATGATAGTTTACCTATCGATCCATTTTCTCAAATTTTAAATTGGTTTCATTTTTATCAAAAAGTGTCACTCGTATATTGTCGCAGTTTGACTTCAATTTTTTTCAAGCTCCGATTATTTAATTTTAAAAAGGTAAACGCCATTATCGAACAGCAAAAGTGTAAAAGTCACGATATTACGAGGCCAAACTGCATTCTGTTTATTGTATGCGGATTCCACAACAGTCCAAAATCAAATTTGCTGCGGAATCCACATCACTGATACTTTTCTTTGATCTTCTTTGCTGTTATGGAGTCCACAAACAAATACTTAAAACACTGTTCCGCTCAAAGTCGCTCCAAAAATAGACGAATTTGCGGAATCCGCAACCATATTTGCGGAATCCAGAACAGTTTGTGGAGTCCCCAAACAAACAATAAGACATGTGTATAGATAAGTTCAGCTGTGGCGGAGTCTGCAACTGTAAGCGGAATCCGCAAAGTGTAAGTGGAATCCGCAAATTGTAAGTGGAATCCGCATTTTTGCGGATTCCGTATACATATATGTTGTAATGTTTAAAATTATATCTTTTAATTACATGATTTGATTTCACTAGAATAGGAGTTTACTAGAACAGTGTTTGTGATTAATGGAATCCCAATTACTGAACAGTGTTTGGGATCGACGAAATCCCAAATACTGAACTAATTCGACGATTTGCTATGCATTGTAGTTCTAATCACTCCCAACCTAATGGCTCGAAATAAAGTTTTTATTCTTTATTATTTCAGTTTTTGGGATTATCAATCCCAAATACTGACCAGTATTTGAGATCGTTGGAATCCCAAAAATTGACATAATTTGGCGCTATGCTATGTGATGTGTTTCCATAAACTCTCAATCCAATGACTACAATAACTGAATTTATTCGGCGTTATGCTTCCAAAATCAGTATTTGGGATTGACGCAATCCCAAATACTAACCTAATTTGGCGATATGATGTGTGTTGTATTTCCATACACTCTCAACTCAATGACTTCAAATAATATAATTATGCGGTGTTCTGTTTTCAAAATACTAAAAGATGACACTCACCGATTTAGGTAAACAATTATTCAAGTCTTGCTTGTGAATTCCGCTGACAATTGTTAATTCCTTTCTTTCAAACTCCGCATTGCTAGAGATAAGAATTCCAGCTCTAGCTTTTGTTTATTCATATGCAAATTCAGCAATGAACAAAATTCGGAATCCACTTACAGCTTGCGGAATCCGCTTACATGTGTGGATTCCGCTTACATTTTGCGGAATCCACTTACAGTTGCAGAATCTAAAACAACTAGCTATATTCGCTTGTTGCGAAATCCGCGAAACAACAAATGTGCCGATAAAATGATGTTACACTCATATGTTCGCGGAATCCACGGAAGTTTTGTAAGTGGAAACCACTTATATTTTGGAACATGTTTAAAGATTAGTTTCTGGAATCCAGGAACATACAGACACAAAATTGTGCGCCTATCCAGTGCCCAGTTTGGCCTCGTAATGGAAAAACTTGATCGACTTCTAACTTTAAAACGAATGTTTATCAGATTCCCCAATCAAATGATAGTTTAACTATTGATCTATTTCTCAAATTGGTTTCAGTTTTATCAAAAAGTGTCACTCGTATATTGTTGTTGAAGTTGAAAGGGCTTTCAATAATTGAAATTATTAAGCCAGACCTAGAAAGATTTATCCAGATATCTCAAATTGGGTTTATTTAATCAAAAAAGAGATCAATCCGAAGGTCAAAAGCAGTGTTACTCATTATAGTCTCACCAGCTTACAACTATAATGGAAAAAGTAATTCTAACAACTATAACATGGTTTTTTCGGTCTTCGAACGTGGAATGTTTAAAAACAAAAAAAAATAGGCATGAGACATCGATCTTTTTGGGTCCGACTGAATTAAGTTTTGCTCACTTTCTATTTGATTCAGTTTTGCTCACTTTCCTTTTTTTCAGAGTTAGGCAATTTTTTCCCAGTTAAGCAACTATAAAAAAGAAAACTGATAAAAACAGGGTTTGCTTGCAGCCCTAGAAAGGCTCATGCAAGACCACGAAGCTTCTTATACTTTGTGCGCTCTGTTTTTCTCTTCTTGTGGAAACAATGTTTCTGTTCGTGCTACACATCTGTTCACACGATGTGGCTGCTCCCTGGCGTAGTTTGCCAGCATTAAGAAATAATTCTTAAAACAAGTTGCAGTATTAAGGTGAGTTGACCGTAAAAATTTGTGGTCAAATAGGCTCAAGTTTCATTTAGAAGAGGATCAGCAGCATTGTTGTCGTTGATGAAGATCAGCCGCTGTCGATAGTGCGAGGATGCTACGATCTGCAGAATTAAAAATTTCAAGGAACTTGTCTGCTTCAGTTGATGCTAGTGTTTGGTATTTGTTATGCGACCGTGGTTGAGCGGTTAGTGCGTGAGTTTCAAATTTTCTAGGTCGTAGGTTTCCCGGGTTGACCTCCATAGACCAAAAACGCAAATCATACAACTATGCATAAACTAAGTCTATGAAAAAATACTAGTCATACAAATTTCATACAGTTTGCTAAATAGGTGTCGTCGAATTTTTGGAAAACTTTTCTCTTGTTTCGGCATAAAATTCGGTGTATCGTACTAAGTAAAAAAGAAAAAATGTTTGTGTCAAAAAAAATGCTAATCATACAATTTCCATTATATGGAAAATGTATGACTAGCGTTTTTTTGATGGCGAAGACGTATTTTTGAAACTGCCCCCAAAATGATTTTTGTGATTTTCCAACCGCAACTTGATTTTCATACAAAAACAGTTATTTTTTGAAAAAAAAAATTGCATTCAAAATTTAATTTTTTGTGTGCATAACGTAGTCCTGGATATACTAATATTGTAATTTTTTTCCTTTTCTCTTCCTTTTTTTTCAAAACGCTTAAAACGTCTTTTTCTTTTGTATGACATGTTTTTGTATGCCTTGATCAATGTCTGGTAATTTAAAAATTCAAATTTTAGAAATAATCATCTTTGAAAAGTTTTGCCAAAAATTAAAAGTTCGTTACTTTCGTTAAATTATTTGTGTGAGACTGACTTAAAACATTTCAGGCTGTTTCCAATGCATTTTTAATGCGACACAGCCAAACCTTTGGTTAATAAGTTTGAGTAACCAAGGTTTATGTCATTTGTGTTTGGAAAAATAAAATGTATAAAATCAATACTTTCGGTTTATGGAAAAATGCTAGTCATACAAGTTCCATATTTGAAAATACCATTCATAGACCTTTCATGCAATTTTCTGTACTTATGGAATTGCATGAAAAGTGTATGGTTAGCATTTTTCCATATATGAAAATTGTATGACT